TGTTTTCCATTTTGATTATTTAGTTACTTGGCAAAGTCTTGGTATCCTGTAGTGGAGGAATGAAAGACAAGCAAGTTCCAGAGAAGGCCCATGAAGGGCATTAACCAATGGATGGTTTGTGGAGCAGGGTGGGGGTTAGATTTCTTATTGTTGGACAGGGGGATCAGAGTTTCAAGTGACTACTTGAAAAACATCATCAAATGATACTTGTGATTTTTTTTTCTGAGAGAGAATTCTTTCCTCTCTCTTCCCATAACAGTTTGTGCTTCTTGTAGTTGATATACCTATGCTTTAAAATATAGCTATTAGGAGAGACCATTTTATAGCAAAATCATTTCCCTTCATGTTCTGTGGTATATCAGCTTGGCAGTAGAGTTTACAGGGTTTGAAATCAAAAGCAGCATTGGTTCCTTCAGGGAAAAATGATTCCGATCTACCAAAATAAAAACCAAACAGACTCTAATTGTTCTTTTTCCCACAAGGGGCTTGCCCTTTTTAAAGGTGTGGTTAATTTTGATAGGACTCTTCTCTCTAACAGAATTAGTGGCTGGGAATTGCCTTTTCCCTTGGGTAAAACCCACTTTTAAATCTCATTTTAAAAAGATCTTGAAGTGTCTTTGAAAATAAAAGTTCTTTGGTATCTCTCTATTCTTTAGCCCTCTCCCTCTCAGCAAGGAGACTTCAGTTTTCTCCCAGAACATGTCCTGCTGTAGTATCTGATTCAAACTTTGCTTTACTATTGCTCATGCTAAACTAGGAAAGCTGTCAACTTTATAGTTTTTATTGAGCAATCCATGTGTTTTTAAAAAATTTCTAGTGTGGCCGGGCTCAGTGGCTCAGCCTGTAATTCCAGCACTTTGGGAGGCCGAGGTGAGTGGATTGCCTGAGCCTGTGGATTTGAGACCAGCCTGGGCAACTTGGCGAGACCTTGTCTCTACAATAAAAAATTTTTAAGAATTAGCCAGGTGTGGTAGTGTGCACCTGTAGTTCCAACTACTTGGAATGCTGAGGTGGAAGGATCTCCAGAGCCCAGCAAGTGTACGCTGGGGTGGCAGTGAGTATGCTGCTTCACTTCAGCCTGGGTGACAGAGAGACTCCAACTCAACAACAACAAAACATTTCTAATGTTAAAGAAAAGTTAAATAAATGTCAATCAGGGGTTACATTTTTAAAAATCATCTTCCTTCAAGTCTAGTTCTAGAAACGTTACAGTTCCAGTTTCTTCCACATGCTGTTTGTCTAGTGTTCGTCATAATATTCAGAAAAGCAGAATTAACTTTCCCATCCTTCTTTCCCGACTTTGACTCAATACGCAGGACCGTGCCTTTCATGAGTCCTTATTCTGTCAGCTCTTCTTGAAGACTTGAAAAAATCACTGTGTGATACTAGCATTTTTTCCTAAGTAAATATTTTCAAATCAAACCAAGCCTTTTTATTCTATCTCTTGTCCTCTTTCCATCCCCCAGAGCCTTACAGTGCCCATGATTTGGCAACCCCATACAGGAGGCTCCTGAGCTACCAATCACATGAGAAAGAAGGCAAGAAAAGAAAGGACAGATGGCATCAAAAGATAGGCCTTTCTAGGTCGTTGGTGGTTAAGCTTGCAATCTGGTTACCAACAGGGAGTCTATGGGGGAAAAGCACCACTGTAAGGGAAGAATAATTTTGCCATACAATTCTTGTTCCAAGAATTTATTGGAGAGAAAAGATAATGGATTTTCTGATTTAACTCACTCCAGAGTACAGTCACAGGGTATCCATTGCTCTTGGTTGGGTGCATGTTACCTAAGTGGCATCTGAATACATATGGTAACTGCATTATTTGGATGGGAGTCTGAAAAGTGGGGCTACCTCTTGGTCAGCTGCTGTCCTTCAACTGCCATTAACCCTTTGTTATCCTACTCTCCACATGCCTGTTTTATTTACAAATACAAACCTGGAAGAAATGACTTTTAACTCCCACAGATAACCTCTCCCCACCAGAGGACCAAGGAAACCATTCACTGATCATTTTTCACATTAATATCTATTTTGGAGTACCATATTTACAAAACATGGAGAATGGCATCTTTGACCTTTATGGGACATGATATCTTGGGTACATTTTCTTGGTGTAAGCTGTATTTCAGAGCAGATTAATAATTATTTGACTGAAGAAGTGTTCATTAGTGGCTAATGAAAAACATTGTAGAGGATGTCCTGTCTTCTCTCTTCATTTTCCAAACCTTGGTCTGGGTAGCTCCTGATTTAACAGTGCTATTGAAGATCCCCAGACTGCTAAACTTGGCCACTTATTTCCTTATAGAATCCACCTTGGTTGTTTTTTATTGAATGAATGAAATGAAGGCACTTGTTATTTTAGCTTTAAACTTAGTCCCAATCTATAAATTTACTCTTTTAATTACTGGGAAAATCCTTGCTTTTTCATAGACAAATTCAATAAACTTCAAGTCTAAAGTCAAGTTTCAACCTCTTACAAGTCTCCTCCTCCAGTTACAACCTCTACATTTATTCAAATTGTGTTGTCCTTGCTATCAGTGTGGCTCTTTACAGTATGAACCAAATGAGACAAAATCATATGTTTCATTTTGTATCTAGATTATAAGTTGTTAAAGCTTACATTTGTTTTATTTTTCTTGCTCAAGCAAGTATCTGGAATAGTGCTACACAAAAGACATAATAAATATGTGACTGAATGATTAAAATAAAGAGAAAAAATATATTTTAATATGTTATTTTCAGCCTAGGTTTTACTGAACATCACAATTGACCCACTCTTTTTTTTTTCTTGATGTGAAAAACGATAGTAAGGCAGTTTCTTAAACTAAAAAGTAAAACATAATTCCTACATATACTGAATTTTGGGGGATAAGTAATTTGAACAAGATTGACAAGCTATTGTGGTAATGTACTCTACTAGTTGCTTTTAACTTTTTTAGAAGACTGAATTCAAAGCTAGAATGTCTAGTTATTAGCAAGACAACCACCAGTCTCTCCACTTTCCAGTCATATCATGAGTGCAGTTGTTTGACATACGAGTATACCATAATGCTCCTAATGAAGAGTTTAAAGGCACTTTTTACTTTTTAAAAAAATCTGTTCAGCAAGAGCATTCTGATCACATGAAAGTCCCAAGAGATGTTTCCAGTTAAAAATGAAAATTTTTCTTCAGTTTCTACAAATTTGGGTAGTATAGCAGGGGAGGAAAGTGAAATTGTTAAATATTATTAAGAGGCATCCAGTAATATACCTTTAGGGAAAATTAAAATATTCCTTTATTCACATCTGGTATGTCAGGTTTCAGCCTGGAGCCAATTATGACTTGAGGTATTGAACTCAATGAAGACATTTGGAATGGAAATACCTACAGAACTTTATAGCTGGGCTAGTAGATAGGTGCTAAAAGATTTTTGACAATTTATCAGCCAAACCTCTGACCTCACTATCTTAATCATCCTTTCTTGTCAGCAACATACTTGACTGTTTATTACCTCGTACTACCCCTCTTTCAAATTGCTAGCATTTGAGAATTTCAATTGACATTATTTCTTGTATATTAAGATAGAGAAAGCATAGTTTGGTGGGTGAGCTCGTAAAACCATATTGGTCCTTTCTGAGAAGAAAACGGTGGCTGTGTTTGTTGCTGATGCAGTTGAAACAGTTGCTAAAAGTTCAGTTACAGCTCTTTGAGAATCAGGGGTAAACTGTGAACATATTTGTGAATTTTTTTTCCAGCTATATTGTTAGCTGTTGAATTATCTTATGCCTTATGAAACACAGGTCCAAAGATGTTAACTAGTATTGTTTTAGGATGAAATTATGTACTTAGAAATCACTCTTATCACCATGATCACAGCTGTTTTAGAGCATTAGGAAAGTAAATCCGTGAAGCTCTCTGCTAGCATTTCCAGGAGAGTTTTCTTCCAACTTTCCCACAGGATGAGTAGATATGAGAATTCAATGACTTTCAATAAAAATTTTTATCACCTGTTGTCCTTGTGGATTAGAGGCAGGTAGTGAGAGAAAAGAAAGAGATGGCGGGAGAGAAAGGAAATTAAAAAATAAATTAAAATTAATTGAATGAGCTTGTTTGTATACTTAGATAGGAAGTAGAGGACTGTTTTATGTGCTATTTCTGTGGCTGGAATTGATCACAGGGCATATATTGACAACAGGGCATATATTTTATCTAGCTGATCATAGAATTTTTCTGCTTCTGTTGTGATGGAACATAAGAAATTATCATTTTTATAAGTGAAAAATGGCTGAATAACAAATTCGTATAGTTCAACCTAAAATATAACATGTAGCCAGGCTTGGTTGCTCAGCCTGTAATCCCGCACCTTGGGAGGGTGACGTGAGTGGATTGCCTGAACCCGTGGGTTTGAGACCCACCTGGGCAACTTGGCGAGACCTCACCTCTACAACAAATCATAAATTAGCTGGGTGCGGCCACTGCACTCCAGTCTGGGCGACAGAGTGAGACTCCAACTCAATAAATAAATAAATAAATAAAACATGTAACAACCTGTAGGATGGCTACAATTGCAGAATGGTGTGTGTGTGTGTGTGTATAAAAGGTGGCAGGAGGAAATGAAAAATTGTGAATATTTTATACTCCCATGGTATATCACAGCTGAAACCCCCTACCCCAGCCTGTGATTTTAGGCAATCAAGATCAAATAAAATTGTCCAAGTATATTTTCTCACTTCCATATTAATATAGTTGAGATAGTTTATGAGGTAAACTAAAAAATAAGCCATCTCTGACAGAGATTACCATTGGGGATAATATTCTAAAGTAACTGTGTCTATGTAGTACAACAAAAATGGTAAAGGTGCCCCTACACTTGAAGATGCTTTGAAACTGAAGAATTAGGGGTGTAACATCTACCCTGTAGGCCGAATAACTGTACATTGTTATTTATCCTAAAATAGGTTTTATGATGTTTTTAGGGGAATAGCCAGGCTGTGCGGATTTGACATTTTGTCTTTCTTAGGCGAGCTCATCTGCGCCTGTGTTTAGAACGCTTAAAAGTTCTGATTCCACTAGGACCAGACTGCACCAGGCATACAACACTTGGTTTGCTCAACAAAGCCAAAGCACACATCAAGGTGAGAATTTTTACTTTCAGATTTGCACAGTTCACTTGGTTCTGGTTTAATTATTGGCTATGATTCCTATTTATATACATCGGCTAGTTTACCATGCCCTCCTTAATAATTGACCTTAAGAGAAATCTTTCTAAAACCTTATCAGCTAATCTGATGGGAGCAACATAACCTGATTAAACTAAATTATTTTGACAGTGTGGTCATTTGAAAAGCTGGGAACACTAGGAAAGTAAGTTACCTTCCTGCTACCCAAAAGGAAAGTAGTTCTGCCCTCTAGTGGTGATGACTTTGTTTGGCTGTGTCCCTCGGTATTTTTCCATCACACTATCCTAGAGGAAGTTTCTCCTTTGTGGAGATTACTTTGCAGACTTAGAATTCCAGCTTGTTCAAGGAACATAGCATTCATAACACACACAAACACACACACAAAAGTAAAGACAGAACTATTTTTGATGTTGAAAAATGTGTATTTTTGTATATTTTATCTACATAAAAATATATTTATGTATACAAGTATGCACACGTATATACTTGTGTATTCATTCATGTCTTCTCTGCCAAAGAGGGAATCAGTTTTATTTTTTGCACTGTACTATATACAAATGTAAATGTCATTTCATCATTTTAGAAACTTGAAGAAGCTGAAAGAAAGAGCCAGCACCAGCTTGAGAACTTGGAACGAGAACAGAGATTTTTAAAGCGGCGACTGGAACAGCTGCAGGGTCCTCAGGAGATGGAACGAATACGAATGGACAGCGTTGGATCAACTATTTCTTCAGATCGTTCTGATTCAGAGCGAGGTAGGCAGTGTGCCTCTTCTCTAATGAAATACTAAGCGTGTCTGAATCTAGATATTTAAGGAATTTATGTTGGGAGGAACTAACTTCTTAGCCAGCACTGTAACATTCTGGGTTTTATGCAGTCATAATATTGTCTAGCAGTGCCTGTGTGAACCATAGAACTTTTGTTTTTTCTTGAAAAAAAGGTACAGATATATGTGTTTTTAACTTTCTATTTGGAAGTAATTTTAGACTTACAGAAAGTTTTATGTTCTCTGTGGAAAATTAGAGTTCTCATATACCCTTCACCCAGCTTCCTCTAATGTTAACATCTTATATAACTATAATACAGTGATGGAAACCAGGAAATTAACATTGATAGAATACTATTGTTATCTACAGACTTTATTCAACTTTTACCAGTTTTCTCACTAATGTCCTTTCTCTGGTCTAGGATCCTAAGCAGGTTAGATTGCTTTAGATAGTTCCTTAGTCTTTTTCATGACAGTGACACTTGGGTTTGTCTGATGCTTTTAAATGATTAGATGGAGAGTATATATACTGGTGATAGTAATTTTTATATGTATATTTTTAAAGTTCCACACTCTTCATTACTAAAATATTTGCCTTTGACAGAATTAACAGAAATCAGCCCTCACCCCCCGCAAAAGGCAGAAAGAAATTATGCTAATCCCAACACTTTGGGAAGCTAAGGAGGGAGGATGACTTGAGCCCAGGAGTTCAAGACCAGCCTAGGCAACATAGTGAGACCTTGTCTCTACAAAAAAAAAAAAGCTGGGTGTGTAGTGTGCACCTGTAGTCTCAGTTACTCAGGAGGCTTAGGGGGAAAGATTGCCTGAACCTAGGAGGTCAAGGCTGTGTGGTAAGCCGTGATTATGATTGTGCCACTGCAGTCCAGTCTGGGCAACAGAGTGAGATCCTCACTCAAAAAAAAAGAAGTGATATTGTTTATTGATGTGGTCATCCAAAGCTCCTACCATATCAGGCCTCACACTACAATAAAAAAAATACCAGAGGTGAACACCGGTGATTTTAAGGCTTACATTTGGGAAAACAGAGCTCATAAGTTCTTGAGGATTCTCAAACATGAGACAAGTGCCAGTTCTTTTTGTTTTTAAGACTTTGATTTTGTTTTTTATTTTTGTTTTAGCTTTTTTTAAAATTTTAAAGGTGGGGTACAATTCAGAGTTGGTTACATATGTGGTAAAGTTTGGGCTTCCTTTTGGTTCCCACTTTGCCTGGTTTGAGATTGGGTACTCTTACTGATTGTTTTAACTTTTAAAAATTTTCAAATATACTCAATAGTAGAATAATGAACTCCTATGTACCCACTATCCATTTTGAACTGCTGTCAATATTCTATCATTCTTGTTTCATCTATTCTCTATCACCCTCACCCTCAATACTTTTTCTGGAATGTTTTAAATCAAATCCCAGATAGTATCATTTCACCCCTAAATGTTGTAGCATATGTCTTGAATAAATAGGACTTTAAAGATGAAATATAATACTATTATAACACCACAAATTAATAAAATCAGATAATCTTATTTAATATCATCTAATACCCAGTCTCTGATAAATTTTCTGCAGTTGTCTCAAAAGTGTATATTGCTTTATATTTACCATTGGTATATTTAAATCAGGCTAAAAGTCCACAGTGCATTTGTTTGACGTGTCTTTTAAAATACTTTTAACCTACAGTAATTTTTCCTCTCTCACATCATTTTGGGTAGAAATGGAATACTGATTTATGCCTAATATCTCAAAAAGACTTTGCCAGAGATAACGTGAATGGACAAATGTGTGTTTATAAAAATATACATAAATACATAGTTTTAAACATCAGGAAACTGTTTCATTTTTCTTATAGAATTTCTCATATTCTAGATTTGACTAGTTGAATCCTCATGATGTCCTCCACATGTTCTGCCCCTCTTCCTTTCTGTAAACTGGTTGGAAGACTTTATAGGTGGTGCTTTGTGTTTCCTGTTACATCAATATTGTGTCTAGTTGTCCTACTTTCAATACTAGATGTGTCCTTAGGGGGTAGGACTGTAGGTTCAGGTGAGGTCGTCTTGATACATTTATGTAAATGTATCAATCTTTCACTTAATAGTTTTGGCAGGCCAGGCACAGTGTCTCATGCCTATAATCCCAGCACTTTTGGAAGTCGAGGTGAGAGGATTGCCTGAGTCCACGGCTTTGAGACCAGCCTGGGCAACTTGGCGAGACCTCATCTCTATAATAAAACCAAAAAAAAAAAAAAAAAAAATTAGCCAGGCGTGGTGGCGCATACCTATAGTTCCAGCTACTTGGAAGGCTGAGGCGAAAGGATCACCTGAGCCTAGTAGGTCGAGGCTGCGGTAGCCGTGAGACTGAGCTACAGAGTGAGACTCCAACTAAAAAAAAAAAAAATAGTTTTAGCAATCATCAATGATTGTTGCCCTGACTGTACTCCATTAGGTGTTATAAAATAGTAATTTCCTAATTTTATCATTCCTCTTATGTTTACTGTTTTTCTTCAAGGAGCATTTTCCTCATCAACTTTTTGGCTACCCTGAAATAAAGTTCATACAGGGAAAGTGGGATAAATGTTTGATTTTGGTTTTTTTTTTGGTTTTTTTTTTTTTTTTTTTGCTTTATCAATTTTCCAAAGAGAGTTAGTGCCATAACATCTTCTAGAGGTGATAAATTTTTGTTTTACTGTTTTTTTAATGATATAGTGAACTTATATTTTTCTTTATTAAATGTGTCTGATACATTGCAGTTATTCTTTTAAGTAATTTTTTAATGCTCAAACTATCCCATATTTGGTCAGTGGGAGCCTTTCACATTGGTTTTTGACCCTTTTTAACACAACCCTAGGGGTTCCTGTTTTTTGTTTTTCTATGTAAAAGTTTATTTTTATGTGACACTCAGTTTTGAAGAAAAGCCTACCAGAGGCAGTAGCAAGAACCCTAAGGACATGCTGCATTTATGAGGGACAGTAAGATGTAGCAGAAATAACCCTGAATTAGGAAGCAGACCTCGGTGTCCTCTACTGCTTCTGTGACCTTGTCAGGTCTTCAGGCTTTAGCTGCTCTTCCTCCTACACCTCCCCATTGTGTCCCTCCCCCTCCAAATTTCAGAAGGGGTATATAGTCATCATTGTAGTTCTCATTTTTTAGTGCTCCCTGTATACCTTACTTTAATGCTACCTTACCAACTATCATTCTTACCCTGAACTGGCAACCCCATTTTCCCAGTGTTACTGGTTCATTTGGCCAAAGCAGTTTCTCATTTTACTTTGTTTTGATTGAGTTCAGTCTGCCCTATGGGATAGTATGCCTTGATATTATTTTCCAATTGTAGGTTGGATGAGTGTTTTGTGATGCTAGGAAACACTGAATGGCTTCTAAGGTATTATGGATGTGAAGCAAATAGTTTTGAATTCATAGATTATTTGGACAGCTTGTTTGGACAGCTGCCTACCTTTTAAACACATCTCTAAAACTTTTGAAGCAACAAGCCCTTTTAAAAAATTTTTTTTATTATAAAGATGTGGAGTACATTTCAGAGTTAGGTTAGTTAGGTATATAATAGACATTGATCATGCAGGTACCCTTGTTGATGAGGTATGCCCCTCCCTCCCCTAGCAGTTTCCCTCAGCTGCCAATTTCACCCTCCCCTCCCCTGACTGTTTCTCACTACTGCCAGTCACTTTCTTGTAGCATTATAATTGTTCAAGGTCCGTTTATGAGTGAGAACATATGGAACTCTGTTCTTACAACAAGTCCTTTTGAAAAGTATACTCTTTGAAATAACTTCACCCTGTGTGTTTGGCCTCAGCAAAAATCCACTTTTCCTAAAGCAATGGTGATCAGTGTGAACCCTTAAATTCAGTGCCAAATGTGAAACATCAGATTTTGAGTTTGCCTGCTTTAAGATAATTGAAAAATCCTGGGGCTCACTCTGGCTCTTAGGGGGAATACAATTTTTTTAACTCCCTTTTAAAACTTTATGTATAGCCGGGCTCGGTGGCTCAGCCTGTAATCCCACACTTTGGGAGGCTGAGGTGAGTGGATTGCTTGAGCCCGCGGGTTCAAGACCCGCCTGGGCAACTTGGCGAGACCTCATCTCTACAATAAATCAAAAAATTAGCCGGGCCTGGTAGTGCACGCCTGTAGTTCCAGCTACTTGGAAGGCTGAGGTGAAAGGATCGCTGGAGCCCAGCAGGTCGAGGCTGCGGTGGCCGGGAGTGACCACTACACTCCAATCTGAGCAACAGAGTGAGATTCGAACTCAAAAACAAAAAACTTTATGTATATTATTGGTGATTGTATATGTAGTATTTAACAATTAAGATATTTATTGATAGCTGGGTCATATATGTATTTAGGGTTTTAAAAAAATGTTTGGTTTTTGAATCTATATACTACTACCAAAATGGATCTCACTATAAACCAGAGACTTTTAAGCCTCAGGACCTTATTTCAAGCTATACTTGATGCAAGAAAATTAAAGTTAAGACATAGACCTCAAAGTCTACTTTATAATGACTGGCTTATTTTAGTTACTAGTAGTCAGAGATCTTTATCATGAATTCTAGAAGTCTTTTGAACTATTTGTAGAATGGTACCACTAAAGGCCTAGGTGGATAAATTTTCTAGTTCACGTATAGTAAGTTTATGCTTTCCCCCACTAAAGGGCAACCCTGATTAATAAACAGAACTGATAATTAGTTTTTGGTTCAATGCAAAACAGATGTTGTTAAATCACTTAAGGTTGGGATCTTTTAATATTACGCACTAATTCCCAAATAGGCCAAGTGCTTTCAGTGGGAGGTCCAGACGAACTGGCGTCAAAGGGTTTAGTAAACTTGCTGCCTAAATTAAGACCACCACTGTATACCAGACATTCCCCCTGGCAAAAAATATTTCTGTCTCTTTACCTTCAGTTCCTCTGTTCTCCAGAGATCATTGATAATAAACTTGTTGTATAACATTTCTTTTATACCATTTTTCTTTATGCCCTGTTAGTTTTTGAAGGTGCATATATACTGGATTATTAATTTTTTTTTTTTTCCTTTGGCAGAGGAGATTGAAGTGGATGTTGAAAGCACAGAGTTCTCCCATGGAGAAGTGGACAATATAAGTACCACCAGCATCAGTGACATTGATGATCACAGCAGCCTGCAGAGTATTGGGAGTGACGAGGGTTACTCCAGTGCCAGTGTCAAACTTTCGTTCACTTCCTAGAACCCAGCATGACATAACAGTGCAGGGCAAAATATTCACTGGGCCAATTCAATACAAAGAATCTCTTAAATTGGGTTCATGATGCAGTCTCCTCTTTAAAACTAAACAAAACTATACTTGAACAAAGGGTCAGAGGACCTGTATTTAAGCAAAATACTTAGCAAAAATTAGGGCAGAGCCTCCCCAACAGAACAAATATTCATAATACTCATTGGAAAAAGTCGCAATTTCTAATGACAACAGAAAACTTGAGTGAAACTTTCTTAATTTGATTGAGTTGATTTAAAAGAGGACATTGGAGATTCCATCCTCTTTTTCTTTCCATGTTTGCTCATACGACATGGAGTAGACACGTTTAAGGATGGGGTTATGAACCTTTTCTGACCTTTATGGTCCTGAAAACTATACTAATAAAAAGACAAGATAATCAGGCATTAATTTTGGATAGCTAAACAGCTGTTAAAACTCAGCCTGGGATAGTTTATCATGAAGCCTGTGGATGATCAATTCTTAGCTTTTTTTTTAAAGTTCATTTCATCCTCTGCAAAAGGAGAGACTCCCATGAAGCCTTTTGAAAGGGATCATCATGCAGCTCGGCTTTCTGTTGGATTCCACGCTAAGCAAGCTAACCTTATCCTGCATTGTTAGCACTAGGGCACCCCACCTTCAGCTCTCCAGCCTGCCACCCTAGGGCACATGGGGGCAGTTCATGCATGACAGCCTCTATCATACAAGGCCTATGAGTATGGATTGGGGGCCAGAAGGAAAAAGCTCGACGTGCCTCTGTGTCTGTGTGGATCAGAAGAGTTGTGCACACAGATTAGCAGGCCAAGGTCTGAGCCACGGCAGCATTTTTATTTCAAATTTTGATAACTGTTTATATGTGTTGAAAACCAAAATGACATCTTTTTAAAGCTTGTCCATTAAAAAAAATAGATGTCTTTTATAGTGGAAAAACACATGGGAAAAAAAATCATCTATTTTGATGCAGCATTTGATAATGATAAAAACACCTCACACCTCACTCTTTATAGTGCACAAAATGAATGAGGTCTGGGCTAGGTAGAAAAAAAGGTCAATGCTGTTTTTGTTTTCTTTTAGAATCATTACCTTTTACCAGCTTTTAACTATCTGATATCTATAGTAGACGCACTATCATAGTTAACATAGTTAAGTTCAGCACTTGCCTCATTTAAATGTAAAGATTTGCTTCCATTTTCCTACAGTCTCTCTCTTTTCTCACAATCCCACTGTGCAGGTGCTATTGTTGCTCTTACAAATATTTTCAGAAATGTTATTTTCTTCTAAGTGAAATTTCTAGCCTGCACTTTGATGTCATGTGTTCCCTTTGTCTTTCAAACTCCAAGCTTCCCCTGTGACCCTCTCCTTACCCTGGGAAGCCTTCCTGGAGACCTTATGCCTGGCTCTTTGGACTTTGTATACTTCAAATAATTTAACTACCCTTAATTACTTTTTTTAAAAAAGCTTTATGATTTTCATAACTTATTGCTGATTTTAATGGGTTGTTAATTTCAGTCCTGTAGTTTTATTTTATGTTTAGATAGGGCTGGGCAAGGAAAAAGAAAATAAAGACAACCATATTTAGCAGTGCAGTTGAGTTGTGTGTTAATGTTAGACTGTCCTTTTGTGAGTAGCACTTTAACAGCATTCACTACTTCTATATATGAAGTGTACCATCTTGGTCAAATATTAGGCCTCAGCATATACTTGTGTTTGTGCTCTTTCTGTGCCTCCAGAATTTTTTCCTTGATTGTGTTATGTTTGAGTGGAAGAAATTGTTTGAAGTTAGATGTGTGTGAAAAACTGCATGCCTTTAGAAGCCCAGTATTAGAACTTGCTACATTTCAGGTGCTGGGGACTTAATGAAAAACATGATGAAACAAATTCATTTCTGTAGCTCCGATAAATTATTTCTGGTTTCATTGATAATACTTCTGGCTGGGTCAAGATGTTATCTATATTTTCTTTCTTTTGGCTGTCCCAAGTGAGACAGTTTAAAGACTGTGCTAACTACCATGGAAAGTAAATGGAAGACCGCGACTACCTTCAGTTTTGTTATTCCTGTGGCATTCACATGCAGTCATTTGGCTTAGGGATGAAATTTGGGCCTTCATTCAGCTGCACTTGAGGTGCTGTCATTTTGTTATATAGGATGATGGGCTGGAAAGCCTTTGTTACGAACCTGTATTGCATATTTCAACTAAATTACTCCTTCTCTGGATTGGTTTTCCTTGGGGGGAGGGGACTGTACAATGTAGGTTGTACAATGAGTAAGAGGTGATACTTTTTAAAAAGATAAATCAACTTTGAAGACACAAAAGTTAATTGCAAGAAATAAAAACTTATGAAGAATACCTGAGTTATTTTTGGACCACTCTGTGAAGGCAAAAATATGGATGAGTATCCACACCTTGAGAGGCAACTATGTCTTAAATGTCTATGTGGATACTGCAATCACTAGTCCAGAATTAAAGGACTGGAAAAGTAAAAGTGCCCATTTAGTCTCCACTAACCTTATCTAGAGTACCCTGTTTGTTATGTGCCGGTGAGAAATATTTATATTAAGATACACAGACAAAATCTATTGCAGTACATATTACCAACAAACTCTGATGAAGCCATTGTGACTCTAGTTTCTTGTTGGAATAGGTATGAGAACTCCTCTAAAAATGCCTTTTCTATTCCCCATATGGCCACTTTTAGCATTATGAAGGCATTTAAAAATAAGGCAGTGAAGATTGTTGAGGCAAAGCTCCTAATCAAAGTCAGATTCTCAACACACCTGACCAAAAACAACATAATGTGAGAAAAGCAAACATTTTAAATACATTTTATTCCCAGCTTCAACATTTGCTAGGCCCTGGTTAATTTCTTCATGGAGTTCATTTCCTCCTGAAAAGTTGTTAATAAATACTACCTCTGTTTTGAAAGGTTGTAAGGATTTAAACTGATATATGTAAATTATATCCCTCCTCAAATCTAGGAAGGTATAAAACCAAAAGGGAATTAAGAAGTATGTGCTTCTCTGATGAATGCAACCTTCTAATTTCTTCATCCTTAATCTTGAATTTTAGTTATTTTGACTCTAGGCCTTATAGAGAAAGACTGTTTCTAAATATTGATTACCTTAAACAAATTTCCATGGTAGGTGATACTTGTAAGTCCATTTTGAGGTCCTATGGCATTTTTAAAGTGGAGGCTTTGTAAGATTAATGTAGCATCAGTTCTAGTGATTATTTGGTCTTTCTAAAAGAAACAAAAAACAAAAAAAGGACTAACCTAAAGTTGAGCATATTATTCGCTGAAAATTGAGTGCCCCAGTTAATGGGTTTTTTAAAATTTTTTGATATTTTTCTTTTTCATTTCTTAGTTAATATTTAGTACTGACCGTGCCAGTAAAAAAGAATCAGCAGCTATCTTCTTGGCTCTTGTACCAAATCTAGTAAGAAACTGGTTTTCTTGTGAAGTATGTCTGATTCTTTTAAATAAGCAGTGTAGTTCAAAATAAATGTACTGTCTGACCACTTCCTAGTTCTGATTTACCTTTCTACAGAGTCTTAAATTATTAGGTGAAATGGCTTAAATAAAACTCTTAAAATACTTCCAAGTAACTATAATTTTGGAATTTTTTCCATATCCTCAATCTATTAGCTCTTTGCGGAGAATGCTTTAAAAATCTTTATTGGTAGGGTAGTGATTGGGACATTGACTTTTGATGTCCACATCAGGGCACAGAATGGCATTGTAAAAATATAACAAAAATCCTTAAAATATCTAAAATTACAAAAAATATAAATTTAAGGGGTCAGTTGTTTTTAAGTTAGTAGCTTCATCACACTTACTCTGAAAGCTAGGTCAACTAAACCTGAGAGGACTTTTGGAGGGAAAAACTCTTGGCAAAAGAACCAAAGTTTACTTTCCTGCTACTTCTGAGCAATGAATAATCGGACAATAACCTTGTCTTAGACTAGCCTAGCTGAAGAGCTCAGGCTTCAACTCTAGTTTTCCCAGGATATGGAGTGTTTCCTCCAGGATTGAATTCTTTCTCTGGTCAGAAATTCACTGCATCTGCTAAAGTAAGTGTAAATTACAGGGATGGGGGCGGGGCAAAAGCACATCAGTTTAACCAAGAAAACGAAATCTTTCCCAGCAAAATAACCATGACCTTGGGCCCAAGTTGAGAAAGTAGCTCTTCAAAGAAAAAGCCAACCTTTTCTTCTGAGTATAACCATGGATCCCTTTGCTGTGCTCTTAAACAAGACTAATGGGGGAAACATGACAATTTAAATAATTCCAGTGGCTTAAGTCTATACTAGTTTTGTAAAAGTGTAACTGGTAAGGTGTGTGGTAGAAATAAATTGCCAGTTTTTATTGCCTGGGAACTAAAAGTTTAAGTATACAAAACTTGGTATTTTTCGTTAGTTCAGCTGTGAACTACCACAAACCCAGTGTTATTCTCAGATCTGCTTTACCCCACTAAAGGCCACAGAATATTTATATATGTAAGTTGAAAGACAGAATAGGTAATAGAAAAACCTCACAGAAATCTAACACCTTCTTATGCTTTCTTTTACTTACTTTTGGCTAGGCCCAAAACAAATCTTTAGTATGTCCCATCTATAAAACTGGTTTCTGAACCTCTTAAGATGTTTCTGAAGAACTAACTATACACAAATATATGCATGCCTTTTAAAAGATGATAACAGGAGTCAACTGCTTAGGTTTTTGTTTGTTTAAACTACAGTATTACCTATTATTTTGTCTGCTATACTTCTTTCTCTCCACTGCAGTACAAATTCAGTTTAACTTGCAACTCAAAAATCCTAGATATAAAGAATGTTCACATTTACTGTTGAACTTGCAAGCTGCTATTTCTACTAACTGCTTCATAGTATAATACAAATACTAGATACAATTCAGCAGATATTTATCGAATCCTCTATAGGTTTTAACAAATACAAAACCTTGTTGATTTTAATAGATTTTTTTCCTTCTATTTCAGTTAATACCCAACTTAAGGCCAAAAACCAAATCAAACTTTAAATATATTTTTGGTTTACACCTGGTATATTTCACCTTATAAAAGGTATAACTATAAAATTACAGTGTACACACACACACTTCACAAAACTACAATTTATGTTACTTGATGGTTTCCCTTGCTACTTTCAAGGCAGAACTGTGTCACACTGGAAACACACACACACACTTTTCATTGTGACAGATAAGCATTTTAAAAAATGTGTTACTACAGTACAATAACTGATGCATTTTGGTCTGATGCCTAGTCTTCATAATTAGACTAATAAAATTGCCACTAGTGGTAATTTCATTTCAAAAGCCAAGTTGCTTTTACAGTTAACCTAAAACATGATTCTCAGCCAGGGATGCACATCAGAACTACCTGTGGTGTTTGTCAAACAAATATACCTTGGTCTGGATAAGTCTGGAGTTGGACCCAGGCCCAGAATTAATTTTAAACAAGCATTAGGGGTGACTTTCAGTATATTTCACCTCCTTCCCATTAAGAAACATGCCCTAGTATAAAAATTAACTTAAACCTTTACTAGGATTACTTAATGTATTTTATAACTTTGGTAATTTTATAACACTTCAATAATAGGATTTTTTTTTTTTTTTTTGAGTTGAAGTCTCACTCCGTCGTCCAGACTGGAGTGCAGTGGCACGCCTCCGGCCACCGCAGCCTCGACCTGCTGGGCTCCAGCGATCCTTCCGCCTCAGCCTTCCAAGTAGCTGGAACTACAGGCGCACGCTACCACGCCCGGCTAATTTTTTGATTTATTGTAGAGATGAGGTCTCACCAAGTTGCCCAGGCAGGTCTCGAACCCACAGGCTCAGGCAATCCACTCACCTCAGCCTCCCAAAGTGTGGGATTACAGGCTGAGCCACAGAGCCTGGCTAATAATAGTTTTAATTGGCCTCAAATCATCAGCAGTGCGGGTTATCCATTGTAAGTGAATTGCTATCCTTCAAGGAAAAAAGATCAGATATTCACCAGTGTCACTCTGCACAATAATGGCAGACACTTCTGTGGTGCTTATGATATGCCAGGTACTATAAACTCTTGACACATAATAACTCAGTCCTTGTAGCTGGATGAAACAGGTATTTCCATTCTACAGTTGAGAAAAATGAGTCAGTAGAGTTAATACGCATAGATAGTAAATGGGGAGCCAGGATTCAAACATAGCAATCTGGTTCTAGAGTCCTTGCTCCTCCAAATGCTCTATGACCTCTCTACATGTTAATTAAAACAGCATTTGTTTTCTGTGATTACTACCAAAACTAAAAATTTTGGTTACTCACTTTTGGAGTGTTAGGACTTGTTCTTTCCTTGAAATAGTCAATAGAAACAAAGTCAAACATTCAAGTTTTGAGAAGTTACATGCAACCGTTCCTACTTAAGAACCATATATATGTAACATCTCAGCCTGTCACAGTTTCAGAGTGTCAAGTAAAGTATTCTTAACAGGGGAAAACCACACTAAATTTTATATTAAAGCTTCATTAAGGCTAAGATTTTTTTTTTTTTTTGAGTTGGAGTCTCACTCTGTCACCCAGACTGGAGTGCAGTGGCACGCTCCTGGTCACCGCAGCCTTAACCTGCTGGGCTCTGGCGATCTTTCCGCCTCAACCTTCCAAGTAGCCAGAACTACAGGTGCGCGCTACCACGCCCGGCTGATTTTTGATTTCTTGCAGAGACGAACGAGGTCTCGCCTATTTGCCCGGGCAGGTCTCGAATCCGCGGGCTCAGGCAATCCACTCACCTCAACCTCCCAAAGCGCTGGGATTACAGGCTGAGCCACCAAACCTGGCCAAGGCCAAGATTCTTATTTGGTTTAAAAATATAGAGCTTAATCACCTTCATTTGTAAAATGCTATTGGTTTCATGCTTCTCATTACGTTATCTTCTCAAATTCAATAGCAACACTGCGACAGGTACTATTATCTTCCCCGCAGTTCTTTTAGTTTAGTCCAGAGACACATGATCCTGATGCTAAGATTTTCCAAAGGCCATATCTAGCTCTTTGACACAAAAGCTCCTGATTTCATTCTATATGCACATTTGCAAAATGTTATGATAGGCTCACTTTCATTCCTTTTCTCTCCAATTGCAAAACCCTTTGGGAAGATTAAGGCATGGTGTCAAAGGAGGGACAAGTCTGCCACAACAGTCCTGCCTACACAAACACCAGGTGAACTACATATTCCAACACCAGTCTCAACAAAAACCATTTCATGGGATCATATAATCATACCATACTTCTTTCCAGTGCTTTTTAATTCAAAGGATTCTCTTGCAATCCTTCAAAGTGACTCTTTATTAGTATGCTCTTAAGATGTTTGTTACAATGGTAACAAAATGAATATTAGTATATTTTACTTAGTTTTCAGATTTCAAGTAGCCCTTTTTCTACTGTAATTTGTGCCTTTCTTTCTGTTCATGTTCTACAGGTTGGAAGAAAAAGTGACCTCCTGGGTTGAGAAGGGGGTGGAGGTGGAAGAGAGATGAATTCTACCTTTCATCACTGTCTTAAGTTTCATTTTTATTTTTTGAGTTGGATTCTCACTCTTGTAACCTAGGCTGGAGTGCAGCGGCATGCTCATGACCACTACAGCCTTAACTTGCTGGACTCAGGCAATCCTTCCACTTCAGGCTTCCAAGTAGCTGGAACTACGGGCGTACACCACCATGCTCAGCCAGTTTTTCTTGATTTATTGTAGAGAAGAGGTCTCACCAAGTTTCCCAGGCTGCTCTCAAACCCCTGGGCTCAGACAGTCCTCTCACCTCCACCTCCTAAAGTGCTGGAATCACAGGCATGAGCCACTGCCTAGCCAAGTTTCAATTTTTTTAAATAAAATTCATGAAATAACTTATCTTCCCATTCCACCAAAAACATAACACCTTTTAAAATAAGGGCATCCTATAAGCACAAGCCCTTAAAATAATACTGGATTGCTCTTTAGGATCCAATATGCTATGTCTAGTGGAAGGAATACTTAAGAGATTTATTGAAACCTCCCACATACTCAATATTCTCTTCCATGACAATTCTGTGTGCAAGTACTTCAAGGTTTAATACTGTACCAGTGCTGACAGCTAAAGACTCCACCCCTTTGTTAACACACCCTGGAGATTTTAAAAATACTTTATTTAATAAAAGTTAGATATACAAAACTGAAATTAACACACATCCTGAAAATCATCATCTTCCATTAATAGGAAGACCCTTTTCTATGAATGTATTTGGCTTAAATTCAACTCAGTATAACTGTGATGTTCACTTATACCAACAAATGCAGACAACTTGATCTAGTTAACAAAAATTACAAACCTAGCTACATGAACATAATATACAGGGAAATTATGGTCAGATTAATGCACAAGAAATACAAGAAATTTTTAATAATGAAACATTCAGTACTCTTGTTCATTAATTTAGCATTGGTTTTTTACAAAAATAGTATCTACACTGTGTACAGGGCTATACATCAGCTTTGTTTTCCCATATAAACATTACACATCCAAAACATGGTACCACTACCATAGTGAAAAATCAACACAGGGGAAAAAAGCAAACATCCAAAAAATAAAGAAAAGGTAGCTCATCCTAAACATGGTTTCTTACATAAAACTAAAAAGAGTTGGATCAATTTCAGAGATAGCCTGATAGGCCTAGAAAACAAGTTATTGAAGGAAAAACCTCAAAACAAACTTTGCCGTTTACGAATGAACCTACATTTAGAATTAAATGAATGACAGGTAGGTTTCAAAGTTGAAGATTTAAAAAATGAAAAGATCTCATTAGCAGGGTGGTGTTTTGCCTTGATGTTCCAATGACTTGCTAGAATATGTGTCAAGTTCAAAGCATCTGAAAATTCCAAGTTTATGACTTACAAAAGTATATACCATAGGTTAAATGGGGGCCTGATATTAGGAAGATCAATTCATCTAAGTGCTGTATGAAGCAGCATCTAGAAAAGTTGCTTTATTCAACAAACTTTAAGGGAACTGTGGTAGTAGTAACGAAAAAAGTTAAATGAATAGCAGTTATCAAATGCAATTTCTTCAAGTTTCATTCTACTGAAGTCATATGACGACGACAATGGTATCTTCCTTACTCATCTAACAAATAATTTACCTTTAGAAAAATATAAGGATAAAAAGGCAAATGTAAAGCCCCGAAGAGATGAAATCCAACAGTTTTTCTGATTATTGAGGCATCAAATGCCTGACATTGTATTTAGAGGTATCTTGATATTGCGTCATAGGTTTATCAGCAATTCCACAAGTTCCTACTCCAACTTTGCCAGTTACACTCTCAGGTGATGCAAAAATACTCCTCTTTACCTAGGGGAAAGAAAAGAGATACCATTCCTCACTAGTTCTGGAAAAAAATGAGAATTTCAAACTTAAAGTAATGTTAACTCATTCGTGACCACTGATGTGAATTTATCTTATCGTGGAAGACTGTCTTTTAGGGTTTATAATCCAAATAAAAATACAAAGTACAGAATGCTTGTCAGAGTGATATCTGAGGCAAATGCTGGATATGTCTGCAACTTACAGGTGTATTGTGAAAAAGGTCACAATTTAGAAGGACTATTTCACCTGTGCTTAATGACAGACATTTGCAACAATCAGCTTCAGATTTTATTTTCACCTGCTCAGTATTATGAAAGTGAAAATTTTGACAGTTGTGACTGTGTTTAAAATATAACCTGGTTCCAATATTTCAAAAGCAGACTGTCTTTGTCTAGTGTCAAAAATGGGTACTGAAATGGTCCCATACTGGAAGCCATTTACTCTAACATATACACTGTGGAAAACATCACTACGCACTTTTTTTTTTCCTTTGAGTCAAGGTCTCACCCTGTCACCCAGGCTGGAGGGCAGTGGCACAATCATGGCTCACTGCAGCTTTAACCTTCTGGGTTCAGGCAATTCTTCCACCTCAACCGCCTAAGTAAGTGATCGGATTACAGACATGCATCACCATGCTCGGCTAATTTTTTTTATTTTTGTAGAGATGAGGTCTTCTACATTGCCTAGGCTGGTCGCCAACTCCTAGGGCTCAAGCAATTCTCCACCTCAGCCTCCCAAAGTGTTAGGATTACAGATGTCAGCCACTACACCCAGCCCACTATACACTGTTAACACTCAAAACACTTGCTTCAGATATCTCAAAATTTTAGTTTTGCAGACTCAAATCCTAATTTGAGTTATGAGCTCTCCATTTTTGCATGACTATAACTCCAGCTATACTGAAATTTACTGTGGAATCTGTTATAATGTGTAAATTGTGAAGTCCAGGCCGGGCATAATCATGCCAGTGTACTCTAGCCTGGGCAACAGGGTGAGATCCCAACTTAAAAAAAGAAAAAAAAAAAGTAAATAATGTGTGAAGTCTCTTGGCATTTATTAAGTCACAAAATAAACACCTTTACAAAAAGGAAGTACAACTACCAAAAGCCATGTCCATCATGGAGGGGCTATCTTGATAGCAATGAAAAGTAAGATATGGGTGAAAGCCAGGTTATCCTTATTCTAAATGCCCTCTATGAATACTATGGTTATTTTCTACCTAACATACACACTTAGAAAGATAAGCATATCAAAGGAAACAGAATGCTCTTTTAAATAAAATCTACCAGTAATGCCCAGCATAAAGGCATGTTAACAAAGCAGGCAGAGTTTAGTACAACTGTCTCTAAGTAGTGAGGTAGCAAATAATTTTTCAAATTTTAATGTATAGAAGGAACAGAGCATAATCCTTCTGTAATTCCTGATATAAACTCTTTTGTTTATAGTGCTTTTTACTGCAGAAACAGTGCTAGCAAAGATTTTTCAATAAGTTAAACTGACACTGATGAGGATTCTGAACATGGTTGGTTAATCACGTGATTTTAAAAATCTGTACCCTTCTTTTCATTTTAAAATTACTTTAATGACAGTTGCAAGTCTCAAATATATAAAATGTGATAAAAAGATTTACCAACCTGGCCTTTTTTGTTTTTAGAATAGGCTCTGTTGTTGAACTGTTGCCATTTCACCTTCTGGTCCTCTCTTTCTTGCTCAAGTTCTTTTATTCTCTGTGCTTTTTTCAAAGCTTTCTTCTTTTTATATTCACGCTGCTGGGCAATCATTTCTTTTCTAGGTGGAAAAATAGGGCCAACTGTCAACTGTTAAGACTTAAAAGATGACTTCATTATAGACATTAGTGGTGCAAAAGATAATAATATAAATAAACACACTCTTCTCTCCATGTATTTTTTTTTAAAAAGCACTCATTAAAATCAATGCCAATGACCCAGCACTACTAAGAAATAAAATTTAAAAATATATATATACAACATCCTTGGAAGCTTTCAAACTTAACTGTCATCTACTACCCATATAAATATTTCAACTATGACTTTTTATTTGATATTTATATAGCTTTTGCCAGCTGTATTGAGGAATAAATTGAGTTTCAGTATTAATGGGTATCTAAATCTTTATCAACTTCTAAAGAGATGAAGTACAGCATTTGGAAAAAGTGTATGAAGAGATTCGACGCAGACAAAACTATTTCACCTAGAGTGGAGGAATGCAGCCGCACAAAAGGAAATCATAGCTAAATTTTTTTTTTTTTTTTTTTTGTAGGAGTGTCACTGTGTCACCCTGGCTGGAGCGCAGTGGCACGCTCATGGCCACCCCAAACTCAACTTGCCGAGCTCAGGGCAATCCTTCCACCTCAGCCTTCAAAGTAGCTGGAACCAGAAGTGCGTGCCACCACCACACCCAGCTAATTTTTTGATTTATTGTGGAGATAAGGTCTCACCATGTTGCACAGACTGGTCTCAAACCTGTGGGCTTAGGCAGTCCTCTCACCTCAGCCTCTCAAAGTGCTGCGATTACAGGTGTGAATCACTATCACCAGCTTAACAATTCTTATAAAACAAAAAGCCTGGGGAGTTTCCAAAAAATTCTAAGTAAGACTGTAATAGGATCGAAGCCTAAAACATACATATTACACACTGTTTACAATCTGATTTTCTTTTTTACAATCTGGTTTTCTTACTGGAATGTTTTTATGTTATTTTAACATACATAATTTTTTGAAATTCAATTATGTAGCAACTTCAGTTTTGAAACTCTTGAAAAATATAAAAGATAGCAAATTATGGCAAATATGCAGAAGTTAACCAAAATATTGTTGATTCTGTTTCTTAAGTAACTTTCAAAAATGTACACTTATCCATCCCCATTGTTACTCTTTAGGTTCAGGCCGCCATCGTTATACTTGGATCACAGAGGTAGTTGCCTTCCCTCTACTGCCAGTGATCATTCTAAACCTCAAATGTGATCACATCATGCTTCCTCTACTTAAAATATTATCAGTGGCTTATGAGCTCTTTATGATCTGGACTCTACTTAACCTCTTCTCTTCTCAAACCACTCACCTTCCAACCCCAAGTTTTTACCACAGTAATGTGTAACTTTTATACATCCCGTCCCCCTTTTTAAAACAAGTAAATATTTACTAAGCTCTTACTATACATCAAGAACTATGTTATTACAAGCTTTATTAATGCATGTCATTTGAATCATAAGATCCAGTAATGTAGATAACTATTGCCCCTATTTTACAGATGAGAAAACAGGTGTTAAACAGCTTGTCTAAGGCTGGGTGCGGTGGCTCATATCTATAATCCCAGCACTTTGGGAGGCTGAGGAGGGTGGACTGCTTGAGTCCAGAAGTTCCAAAGCAAGCCCTTGACCACAAAAAAAAAAGCTTTTAAAAATTAGCCAAGCATGGTGGCACACGTTTGTAGTCCCAACTTCTAGGGAGGCTGAGATGGATTGCCTGAACCCAGGAAGTCAAGGCTGCAGCCAGCTGGGATGGTAACACTGCGTTCCAGCCTGGACAACAGAGGGACACGCCAAGTTTAAAAAACAAAAAGCCGGGCTCGGTGGCTCAGCCTGTAGTCCCGCGCCTTTGGGAGGCTGAGGTGAGTGGATTGCCTGAACCCGTGGGTTCGAGACCTGCCTGGGCAGATCTCTACAATCAATCAAAAAATTAGCCAGGCATGGGAGCGCACGCCTGTAGTTCCAGCTACTTGGGAGGCTGAGGCGGAAGGATCACTGGAGCCCAGCAGGTCGAGGCTGCGGTGGCCGGGAGCGGCCACTGCACTCCAGTCTGGGCGACAGAGTGAGACTCCACTCAAAAAAACAAACAAACAAGCAAAAAAAAATTCCATTTATAACAGCACCTAAAAATACTTAGGAACAAATTTAACAAAAGTCTAAAACATTGTCGAAAGAGATTAAAGAAGACCCAAATAAACAGAAGGACATCCTTTGTTTATGACTTGGAAGATTCAATATTGTTGAGATGGCAATACTCTCCAAATTGATCTTTGGATTCACTGCAAACCCTATCAAAATTTCAACTGCCTTCTACGTAGAAATCAACAAACGGATCCCCAAATTCATATGGAAATTCAAGGAATCCAGAATAGCCAAAAAATCTTGAAAAAGAACAAAGTTGGGGCCTCATTTCAAAACTTAGTACAAAGCTCTAGTAATCAAGAAAGTGAAGTAATGGCATAAAAATACAGATAAAATGGAATAGAGTTCAGAAATAAACCACTGCATTTATGGTCAACTGATTTTTGACAAGAATGCTAAGACCACTCACTGAGAAAAGTCTTTTCAATCAACAGTATTAGGATCATGGAATACAGACATGCAAAAGAATGAATTTGGATCCAATCTCACACCACATGCAACAAATAACCTAAAATGAAACTAAAACTATAAAACTAAGAGCTAAAAACTAGAAAATTCTTAGAACTGACAAAAAAAATTTTTTTTTTGAGTTGGGAGTCTCATGCCATCCATCGCCCAGGCTGGAGTGCAGTGGCACACTCATGGCCACTCCAGCATCAATCTGCTGGGCTCAGGCGATCCTTCTGCCTCAGCCTTCCAAGTAGCCAGAACTACAGGAGTACACTACCACACCCGGCTTATTTTTGATTTATTCTAGAGATGAGGTCTTGCCAAGTTGCCCGGGCTGGTCTGGAACTTGTGGGTTCAGGCAATCCACTCGCCTCGGCCTCCCAAAGTGTTGGGATTACAGGTTGAGCCACCAAGCCTAGCCTTGTCTGTTTGTTTGTTTGTTTTTAAAGAGACAGGGGTCTCATTATGTTGCCCAGGCTGGCCTCAAACTCCCAGGTTCAAGTGATACTCTCTCCTCGACCTCCCAAGTAGCTGGGTCTATAGGTGTGTATGCCACCGTGCCTGCCCATGAGATTCTTAAGTAAACTACTAAAAGCATAAGCAACAACACAAAAACAATACATAAACTGGACTTCACCAAAATGAAAACCTTTTGTGCATCAAAGGATATTATCAAGATTCATATGCAAGTATATTCTCCAGGTCTGGGCTGTCTTTTCATTCCCTACACAGTATTGTAGGCTGAGCAAGCAATTTTAAGCCGGGTTCGGTGGCTCAGCCTGTAATCCTGCGCTTTGGGAGGCTGAGGTGAGTGGATTGCTGAGCCCGAGGGTTCGAGACCCACCTGGGCAACTTGGCGAGACCTCATCTCTACAATAAATCAAAGAATTAGCCGGGTGTGGTAGCGCGTGCCTGTAGTTCCAGCTACTCGGAAGGCTGAGGCGGAAGGATCGCCGGAGCCCAGCAGGTCGAGGCTGCGGTGGCCAGGAGTGGCCACTGCACTCCAGTCTGGGCGACAGAGTGAGACTCCAACTCAAAAAAACAAACAAACAAAAAAACACAGCTTGGCCAAAGCCATAATGTTCATTAATAACAGAGAACTCAAGCCCAGATATATAGACAACCCATGTGATAATGCCTCATTTTTTACTGCTATCTCCTTTTCAAATCTTAGTTCAGATGCCATTTTCTCAAAGAATCCTGCCCTGATAATAAAGAAAGTATAGATTCAATACCTCTTATTCCCTTTAAGTACCTATTTTACCCCTTTGTAACTTTTATACTGTATTATTAAAGCTATTATTTAATTATGCATTTTCTTCTCTAGATATAAACTCAGTTGGAACAAGGCCTGAGTTGGTCTTCTTCACTGTGGTGTAGACCCAGCACCTGGCTTATAAAAAATACTGAGATGCTCTTTGTATATACTATCTGCTTAATATTTAATGCGCAAGTGAGAACCAAAATGTCTTTGGCTTACCTAAGCACAAATATACAGACAATACTGACCTCACATCACTAATCTTCAATACAATGGAAAACAGTATTATAACTTCCTCACCTCAATCTCACCTGCATAGATTCTCTCTGCAGACTACCTTAAGTACACAAATGGGGAAGATTACATATAAATTGCTTACTTTGACATGGGTTTGTTGCCACTATCCTCCTTTGCCTTCCTTCCTTCTTCTACAGGCTTGAGGTTCAACAATGGAGTCACTTCAGCATTGCCATAACCAGCAAAGGTGATTGCAGCGGTGCCATTTTCTTCATCTATCTCCTCGATCTCCGCTTCATAACACCTGTAAAGATATCATGGCTGTAAGCAGGTGAGTAAAGATTTAGTACTCAACCTTAAGACTTATACTGCAGTGATATAATTATTATGTTTCTAAAATGAAACTTCCATAGTCAAATGGCCCTTTTGGCAAAGAAAATATAAGAGAGTCAATGAAGTTAGTCATCTGCTATCAAAAACAAAAGTTCAAATCTAAATATTGCTGGGAAAGTCTCTTACATATATCTATTCAATATGCTTTAGTTAATCTCTTTGAGAAAAGATATTTCTTACAGGAATTAGTGTTTGTACTTCTCAGAAGTCTGAGATAACCAACTATTCATTCAATTTTCAATCTGAGGAGAATATAATGTAGATTGTTTTAGAAAATACCCATTCACTTTCCTGTTTTCATTTTTCTTTCCTCAAGAATTTAAGACATCCTTCTCCCCCAAACTTAATGTAAACCTAAAACTAAATTATATTAATGGCAACCACCCAAGAATCAAATTGGCTCTATAAATTATATTGCCTATATACATACATTAAAATAGGGTAGTTAAAACTGAATAAAAACTTCTTACCATTGTATTTTATTATTTCATGTTATAGTTAGAGGTTTTTTTTCTACACTTACTGTCCATCTTCACTCCAGATTGCCATACACTTGTCTCCTACTTTCCATGAGTGAGTGGGCTGAGCAGAAGCAAAACTGTCTGAACTTGCAAGAGTTTCAGAAGGTTGAGTTGACAGAAGGTCTTTGGTTAGTTCTATAACTTCCTAAAAAAGAAAGATAAAAACTACATTATTTATATAATTCTCATTGTCAACTTTCCGTTTTTGATGACAGCTCTCATACTGTATAGTAATTACTAAGAACTCTAAATATATTTTATTTGCAGTACACAACAGCAACACTATTAAGAGTACTATGATTATTCCCATGTAGAAACTGAGATACATTAATTTATACTAGTAAGCCGTGGAGCTGTGATTTAAGGTCATATAGTTGCCTTTCAACTTCATTAACCACAAATACTAAAAGAAATAGCGTAGACTTGAGCTTATACCATGCATTATTTACAAGTGCCTATTTTAGCTGAATAGATCTCTCTAAAGATGAGAAATAATGTCAAGTGTGAGGGATTGAATTAGATTCAAGATTATTTTTACTCTTATTACTGTTGCATATATTTTATGCAACTATACTGTTTTATAGGGCAATACTAGGCAGTAGGTATTAACAACCTACCAATCCCCCAAACATCTGAAAGCAGCCTTACTAGTAACAAAAATGTTTCTACTAAAATACTGCAGGCATGCATAAAAAAACCAGTAGACTTCCTACCATTTATAAAACTCACCACATCTGGGCAAGCAAATTACTTTATACCTTAGTGTTAAGTACATTAGCACAGTTTCATCTAAAAGGAAAAAAATAAAAGTAACACAGAGGCAATGCCTTTCTGTGTGGCAAATATTTTTTTCTAATTCAGGTTTTATTCAAAGGTGTTTGGTTAAGATGGTTAAAAATTTTGAGTGGTAGTGTAAACTGAAAGATTCTGCTACCTGTCTACTATATTTTTACTCTAATGAAGATCCATACTATGCATCATCTTAAGAATTTGCATACCTGTCCCCCCACTGCTGCATTTAAAACATCTCACTGAGTGTTTGGGAAGAAAAAAGAGCAAAATTAAGCCATGAACTGAGTTTTTCTTGTGGTTCCTATTAAAGTTTCATAACAGTAGTTCTGATTCAGCAGCCAAGAAAGTTAAATATTACCTCTCTCCTAAAGATTCTAAATCTCCCTGGTTATTTCTGAAAAATTAATATTTGAGTCTAAAAAAAAAATTCCTCTAAGAAACGTCAGTTTTATAAATAAAAAAACTAGAAGACTCAGATTAGAGTTAAAAGTTCAGTAGGAATAACATCTCTAAGTTGTATTAGTTGCCAATAGCCATTAAAATACTTTTTAATTGAATAATGCTTTGCAAATAAAGCAAAGAACCTTCCAAATAACTAGATAATGGTAGTATACAGAAGATTATCCAGTCTTGTTTTTAGTTAACCATTTTAGGCCAAGAATGTAATCCAGTAAGCCTGACTCAAGAGCCCATCATTAAATACTTCCACATCCTCCTAGGATTCATTTAACTATTAAAGCACAGACATGAATTCTGCATTTGTAGGTCTCTGATTTAGAGCTCCTATTTCTTTTAGGACAGAACATTTTCCCACTACAATTTCAGAAAGAAATATATTTCATCAAAGAAAAGGGTCCTGAGAAACCATACATGTTATAATTTTCAGAGGTCTGTGCTGAAATGACCCTTTTTTTTTTTTTTTTAGAAAAACATCCAGAATGTTTACTCCTAGTATCTTTTAACTTTGTCATGATTTTACATACCCCTCCCAACAAACTATGAAGAACCTTCTAAATTTTTTTTTCTTCACATGTGCACAAGGACCAAAGTATTAGAAAAGCTATTTTATGAGGGGGTTCTTGAAGGTACATACCATTAATTACTTTTCCTCCCTCAAGTCTGAGTTCTGAAACTGCTCCTTCATCAACAGATGGGCAGCAGTTACAGTAATCGGCAATTCCAGGAAGCATCAGGTGTTGTGATCTACATATCAGCAGGTCAAAGGGGGTGCACTCAAGCACTCTGCTTACTGAAGGAAGGCGTTTCGGGGATGCAGAGAGCCACTGTAATATATGAGACAAGTGACTTGACCCCTGCCTCCTTTAGAACCAGTTTATTCAGCAAAACAGCTTAATATATTGACTTTTTTTGTGATTATCACAGACTGCCTGGGGAGCTAGTCAACTAGCTAGCATGGATTTTACTAAACCCACTTTTTCTTTTAAGTGAAAAAAGAAATGCAGTTAGGACTTAAGTAGATTAATTTACTGCCTGCTGAGTTTGAGTAACTTCAGTCTACATGAAAGACAGTACACAAAAGAGATAAACATGGAAACCTTACTGACAAAATGAAGTCACTGGAAAAAATGCAGAAGGAACATTTTGTCATAAATCAAAGGGCAAACAAATTAACAACCAGGATAAGGAAATGATTCCATAAGAGGAACACAAGAAATTAGAAATCATATGATAGTCCAAAAGTATGAAAATGAGGAAACCACAAACTCCATAATCAATCTGAACAGACTTCTCACCAGATCTAGTGGGCAGAATTAAACACTAATGACATGAGATACATCTCATAAAGCAGAGAAGGAAAAAAGAGGGGGAGACTCCATAGCAAAATAGAAGCTATAACTATAGTCTCAATGGATACAACAACATGGAAGCATATAGCCAAATATCTTCCAGAATTTTACCTAATCTTAAAAAGACATCTTTCAGTAGTTTTCAGTTCAAAATAGACCGTATTTAATAACCAAAATGAAACTCTCTCATGATAGAAGAGGGAAAAAAACTGTGATCAAGACTGGTCAGGAAAAACATTCTGTTATTATTACTATCTGAAGTATTAGAACTTAAGCTTTTAAATCCTTGCCATCCAATATGGTAATTACATGTGGCTATTTAATTAAGTTAAATTAAAAACTCGGCTCCTAAGTAACCCTAGCTGTATTTCAAATATTCAGTGGCCCATGCCTATAATTCCAGCACTTTGGGAGGCCGAGGCGGGAGGACTGCTTAAGCCCAGGAGTTCAAGACCAGCTTAGGCAACATATCAAGACCTCATCACTCCAAAAAAAAAAAAAAATTAGCCAGACCTGGTGGCACGCACATGTAGTCCCAGGTACTTGGGAAAGAGAAGTGGGAAGGATCACCTGAGCCCAGAGGTCAAGGCTGCAGTGATCTGCAATTGTGCCACTGCCCTCCAGCCTGGGTGACAGTGAGACCCTGACTTAAAAAAAAAATTCAACAGTCATAGGCTAGTAACTACAGTACTGAACAGCAAATACAGAACATTTCCATAATCACAGCAAGTTCTACTGGACAATGCTGTTCTAAATGGTTACAGAAAAGAAGATACTTTACAGATAAATGATTCCCAGGGCATTATTAACTAAACCGCAGGTAAGACTTTTAGGTGCTTACTTCAATGTCTACCACAATAGTTTCCCTCTATAGTAATTTTCACTGCAGATTGTGTCACAGTAAGACAGTTCTGACTAGACTTTAATAATAATTTATTTTTGAAATATTAAAAAGACCTGACAATAAAGCTGTTTTAAACTCCCCTCCCAACTTCCCCTCTATCAGTTCCATAAATACCCCTACTCCCATTGCTCAGAAAGCAATGTTCAAAACATTGGCACAAAATGTTCTCTTTTCCAAAAACAAAAAGACTATTTGTAAGTTGGCAAAGATAGACAGGGCATCTCTTTGAAACAAAGAGAAAGTTGGTGCTTTACAGAGTATAAGTACACAAGAGGTCAGTTTGCCTGTCCCCTCATCTTCAATGACTGTAACATGAGAACAAATAAAAAAGCCAGGCAGCAAACCTTTGGGTTATTTTTATTGAAGGGCCTGAGAGTGGAAGAAACTGCTCCCAGAATATATTTTTCTTACTGACTGGTTCCTGGCTTCTACATATTGAAGAGGTGTCCTGTTCATACTGAAATTATCCCAGATAGTTTTTTCTGTTTTAAAAAATAACATACTATTGCAATTTTATCCTAAATCTGGAATTTGAAAATATTCAACTCATCTTAATTATACCCAGATAAGCAGTTTCAGAATCCCAAATCTGGACCCTACTTCATATTAAGTTTCATTTGTTTGCAGTTCTAGTATCCCTAAAATAGTTAACAGTTTTAACGAGCACTGGAATAATGAGAGGAAAAGGATTATTTAGATAGAGAATAGAGATTTAGGTTTGGCACCAAATCAGCAAACGTGATAATCTAATCAAAGTACCCACAGACCTTTTAAAAATCAGGTTCGGAATTCAAAGGAAGTTCTTAAGGTTAAAAGTCATATGTATTTACAAATTATACGTGGTGTTTTCCTGAATCAATATGGTGTCCTGAAAAACAACAGATATTTACAATGATAACTTTTTGTCTTGAAACCCCAGTTCAGGTTTTAAAAAAAGATTTTATACCTAACTCTTCCATGACAAGCAAATTAAGACTTCCTTTCACCACACCAGTGTGACTTCCACAAGTGTCAACAGTAAATCCTAGCCTTAAGTTCAAACATCTATGTAACATGTATCTCTTTAGGTATTTTTAAGATGTGTTTTCAATCCAAGGTGTAACCCACTAGCTTTAGGAAAAAAAGAGCCACATACTTCATTTTCAAGGAATCTTGTGGCATTAAAAATAATCTTAATAAGATTATAGTTTTCTCCTTTAACCTTAGTTATCTTTTGAACTAAATTTCCTTTGTTAGGTCTTAAAAAAATAAAGGCATCTTTCATTGTAAAGTTATATGTACCTCTTCTCTTGACAATTTGACAGAGACTTCCAAAATCAACTCTTATTTTTAAAAATTATTTAGCTTACAATTACATAACAAGGAACGTTTCACCATTCCATACATGTATACAAACTGAGGAAGCAACCCTACTTCTACAAGCTACAGTGCCTACTGTATAAACACGTGGGGGTAACCCCTCCAAAGGGGGCCCTGGGTACCTATGAATTCTAAGCAATAAGTCACTTAAAGTACATTTGTCCAACTATACTTACTTGCAAATCTTTCTTCAGTTTTAGCAAATCTTCATTTTCTCCATTTCCAGATAATGCAGCTTCAACTTGCTGGAGTTGAGCTTTGTAGCTTGCCAGCTGCTTTGCTAAATCCTCTGACATCTGAGGAAAATAAAAAGGGTAAGACCATGAAATGTGAACCAAGGGGAAAAAAAAAAACATAAAAAATAATTTCCCTGTCTGCCTGAATTAACCAGTTTTTGCTCCCAATGCTTAACACTGCAGCTTAATTTACCACCATGACCTTTACCCTTAGTTCACACTGAGCTAAACCACAAACTTCATGGAAAGATTCTGAGAATTATAAACATGTGAGATATATTCAGAAAGGTAAGATAAATTTCTATTTCTATTTTTCTATAAATTTCTATTTTTCTTTAAACTCCTATTACAGGGAAGGCACTGCATTCAGTTCAGTAAGCAAAGTTGTTACATCTTTTTAAAAAGCACTAGTATGTTGGAAGAGTTGAGACTTCCCCCCAAAAACCCAAATACTTATTTTTAAGCATTAAAGCATGCTCCCAAAGCCAAATGTTTTAAAATTAACTACACAAATAAGTAACGATCTACTTTATCCAGTTAAGAGTGTATTTCGAAGTTCTGCGGAACAAACGTCTTACACCCAGTCGTTTAAGAATTTGTCGATGCTGCTTCTCCAGTGAGAGGGCACAAACACGCTCTCATGTAAAATTCCAAGGAATGTGCCTCTCGCCAAATCCAGCTCACTCATCTTCTTGAAAATAAGATAGGGATTAACCCTTTCCGATGGTTCACCAGCAACCACTCGGGGGTTCCCAGACCCTCCTCTGCAAATTGCGTCCCGAAAGTCCGACGTCCGGAAAAGCTCCCCAGGGCCCGGCTGCTGCCCCCGACGCCCAGCACCCAGAGCCCGCCGCGACCGGGCGGTCATTTCAGACTCGCCGTCCAGGCACTCGGCTCCACCCCGTCACGCACTCCCAAGGGCCGTACAGCCCCACCCGACGGGCCCGGGTCGGCCGCATCCGCCCGGCACAGGCCCTGCGCCGCCCGGGGCCGCTCGAGGTTCAGACCACCCGGGCAAGGCCGCGGCCCCCGCGGCCCTCAGCCCCACTGCCGGCGCCCGGACCTCTCCCGCCGGGCTGGCTCCTCAGCACCTGGCCTCCGCTTCCAGTCAGGGGAGATCCAGGCCCGGCGAGGTCTTCCTCTCCCTCTCGGGGTTTGTTACCTTGTGTAGGGTTGGGGGCGGGGCGGCGGGAAGGGGTCGGGGCAAATGAGCCCGGCGGCGGTGGCGGCAGCGGCGGCGGCGGCAGCAGTAGCAACAGGAAAATCTCCGCGACGACAAGGCGACTAGGTCTGAAAAGGAAGAACTCCGTCGGCGGCGGGGGGGAGGGGAGGAAAGCCGGGCGCTTGGAAGGAGGAAAAGACAGAGGCGGGTTACGTCTCGCGAGAGATACTAACCCTCACGCGAGCTCCCTTGGCTCACGTGACTCCTCGCGCCCTCTAGCCCGTCCGCCGTACTCGCGTTGGGGACGCGGAGTAGGCGGGAAATTGGGGGGGGCGGGGAGTGGGTCTAGTTGGAAGGAAGTGGCGTAGTTCTGCGGCGCCCGGCGCAGAAGGTACGTTTTTTACCTCAGTTCCGGTTGGGAGTGGGGAGCCGTAGGATGATTTTATGGGGACGGGTGCTCTGGCCCTTCCTGAAATTTCCAGGGGGAGTAGTCGTGTATGCCTCCTTAAGCGAGCAGCGCCGGGAGCTGGGAGGAAAGGCTTGATGCGGCCAGTAACTAGTGGTCGCTTCTCAGACTTCGCCTCGAACCCGCAGCACAGCCCTCCCTGGGAATGTATTGGACCTCCAGATTCTCAGGCCTCGCCCTCGACCAGCTTCCAGATATTCTGAGTTGGGCTCAGCGATGTGTTTTAACAAGCCCTCCCGGTGCTACCAGCTCGAGTTTGAGAACTACTGCTTTATGTGATAATGGAAGCCTTTGCACGGAAATTTAAAGTGTGGCAGAAAGAACCTGTTTGAGAGGAGACTGATGTATTGGAAATCTGTTTTGTAAAAACTTAACTTGTGTTTAGTTAATCCCCCTCATAGGGAACAGTCTCCAAGTTATAGTCGTGAATTATAAACAGAGTGGCAGGAATACTTCCACTCATGTTCTCATTGATTACGCTTTTTAGTGTCTACCCTTTTTTCTTCTCTTTTTCTTTCTTTTTTAACCATAAGCGTATAATTTTATTTCTCTTCCTTTTTTTTTCCTTCAAAAAAAAGCCCAGAGACAAAGAGGCTATACACGGATGCCAGGAAGCAGTCTTCCCTAGGGGGTTGGGATTTTTGTTGCCGGACCCATAAGAAGGAAGGCCTTCCCAGATTGAGCTCTTTTGAACTGTGCCAACATTTTACTTTAGGAGCCTTCCCTTTTGTTACACACACACACACACACACACACACACACACACACACACAGCCTTTATAGCAAGTCAGATAACCTAGAGAGATGAAAACTAGGTCAGGTTTGTATGATTAGGCTGCCAGTCAACTCGCAAGAGCTGAAAATGCTGCAGAGGGCAGCAGTGTTTAAGCTAAAATTACGAGAAAATACAAACGAGAAAGGATGTACTTTAAGTAGAGATATGTTTAAAATAAAATGTAGTGTTTGAGAACTGCTCTTATTCTAATTGTGTATTTTAAGAACTGATGCCAGGAGGATCTTCCTTGAATATAAAGTAAGCTTTACAGTTGTATTTAAAAAGCCTCTGAAATGAGAACTCTTGCTGAACTCCATAGATCAGAAAATAGGAAATAAACATAAGTTCCAATATAGATTTCTATACCATCTTACAGAAAAATAAAAAGCAAAGCTATGTTGAATTTTATTTCTCACAAAGCAGTAACAGTTGTATGTGCCAGATACCACTGTAGGCATTTTACACTTGTTCATTTAACTCTCTTCTTCTTCTTTTTTTTGAGTTGGAGTCTCACTCTGTCACCCAGGCTAGAGTGCATAGTAGCACTCATGGCCACCCCAACGTCGGCCTGCTGAACTTTGACGATCCTTCTGCCTCAGCCTTCCAAGTAACCAGAACTAAAGGTGTGCACTACCACGCCCAGCTAATTTTTTCTTTATTGTAGAGATAAGGTCTCACCAAGTTACCTGGGCTGGTCTCGAACTCACAGGCTCAGGCAATCCACTCTCCTCAGCCTCCCAAAGTGCTGGGATTATAAACTGAGACACTAAGCCTGGCCATTTAATTCTCACAATGATTTTATGTGGTGTTAAAGGCACCTAGAGCAAAAATAAGGTTTGAAGCCGGGCTCGGTTGCTCAGCCTGTAATCCCGTGCTTTGGGAGGCTGAGGTGAGTGGATTGCCTGAGCCTGCGGGTTCGAGACCCGCCTGGGCAGGCGAGACCTCATCTCTACAATAAAATCAAAAAATTAGCCGGGCGTGGTAGCGAGCGCCTGTAATTCCGGCTACTCGGAAGGCTGAGGCGGAAGGATTGCTGGAGCCCAGCAGGTCGAGGCTTCAGTGACTGGGAGCGGGCACTACACTCCAGTCTGGGCGAAAGAGTGAGACTCCAACTCAAAAAAAAAAAATAAGGTTTGACTCAGAGCAGTACTTTTAATAGACTTTCTGACTTACCACCTCCTTTAAATGTCAAAATCTGCCTCCAGTATCTGATTACTCTTAAAGCATTTGCATTCAAACTTGATAATGTTTCTTCTGCAAAAAGAGCAGTATCGAAAACCACTAGTTCTTTAAGCCTGATATTTATTTAGTTTATTGAAACTTAGTAAGTAAATAAAATTCAAACTCCAAATTGCCATCAGCATTTATAGCTATTTCCTTTCACTACTAAAGAAAACGTATAACCTGGGCATGATGGCACCCGCCTGTAGTTCAAGCTACTCAGGGAGCTGAGGCAGGAAGACCCCTTGAGCCCAGGAGCTTGAGGCTGCAGTGTGCTATGATGGCGCTTGTGAATAGTCACTACATTTTATTCTGGGCAACATATTGAAACCCCTTCTCAAATTAAAAAAGTTAATAATTTTTAAAGTACAGCTGCAGCCTTTGGAAATGTGCCTACCCACTGCAGAGCACAAGAGTATGCAATAAACTATTATATGATGATCAGATAGGAGACTGCACTCTTTAACTTAGCTTTTGTTACATCCTTTTTTGATGAAAAGTTTGTCCACATTTTGTCCTGTATTGACAGATGCCTAAGGTAATGAATTAGACGTGTACATAGTCATCATAACCATTTATTCTTTTTGTAGTAATAATAAATATTTTGAATGTTTGCTTGAAGATTTGCTGCAGGACAAGCTACTGGATTTTTTGTGCTTAATAAGTGTTTTTTGATACATTGCACTGAACACATATATCCTGGGATGATGCCTAGGTGGCATCATGCATTTAAAGTTGATGGAAAAACACCCTTCAGTGGATGTTGGTCAGTGCAGGTGCCCAGATGTTCTTCAGTCACTGAATTGTTCACTTTAATTTGTGTTGCTAGTCGCATTCGGTGGCTCAGGCTGTAGTCCCGCGCTTTGGGAGGCTGAGGTGTGTGGATTGCCTGAGCCTGCGGGTTCGAAACCCGCCTGGGCAACTTGGCGAGACCTCATCTCTACAATAAATTTAAAAATTAGCCGGCATGGTAGCACGTGCCTGTAGTTCCAGCTACTTGGAAGGCTGAGGCGGAAGGATCACTGGAGCCCAGCAGGTCGAGGCTGCGGTGGCCGGGAACGGGTGACAGAGTGAGAGAGTGAGACTCCAACTCAAAAAAAAATTTTTGTATTGCTTTACTCATCGTAGGATGTGCATTTTCAGTCATTCTGTGTTGTGTGTACCACTAACGAACAGAAAACTGTACCACTAAAGAACAGAAGATATGCCACTAAAAACAGAAAACAAGAATTCCCTCAGTTTGAAAAAGATTATAATCTAGGACTTTATAAAGATCAGAAAGGGCAGTTCTTCAGATCTGTTTAGAAGTGGCTCTTAATAATATTCTAACCGTATATTATTAGTGATCTGTATTCAGGGGGGCGAAAAACAAAAAAGCACCTCAAACATCACAGATTTATTGCCAGTGGTGGCATTGGTAATGTAATTTTGAAACTCTTAAGTCCATAGCTAAAACAAATAATATATTTGTTTGTAGACACTCTAAGAAGAAATAAATACAACTATAAAATTTTAATAAGCTATGGGGAAAAAACCCTGATGTTAAATTTGAATGTGTGTGTGTGTGTGTGTGTGTGTGTGTGTGTGTGTGTGTTTCCTGGATATAATGTTACTCCCTTGGAGAATGCTCACCTCTTGATATCTAAATATCATTCTCCACTAAAGCACTAAGTGCTTCTTAGATAAATGGTTGATTTCGTGTCTTAGGCCCAGAAAGTACAAAAGAACAAAACTGAACCTGAAACACCTTACCAGAAAGCAAGGAAGTGCCCCAGAGCTAATAAGATCAAGTAAAAATCCCAAAGAAGCCAGCTTGAGAGAATTCCAATGGCCAAATATGAGTCAATTTGGCCACTAAAAATAACAACTAATAGATTAGCAAAGCATTGAATATGTTTTTAAAATCACAACTCCAGTGTGACTGTTCCTGGTATCGATTACACTCCAAAAACAGAAGGTTCCTGCCGACAGGATCTGTATAGTTAGATTTTCAGTGCTATGGGTTTACATGTTTAGGGGGGAAAAATATATCCAGAGTGATACTTAAAGAGTTGGGAAGGGAGTTTTCTTTACAGTAGAATGTCAACCAATAAATGTAGATGGAACGATATAATTGGAAAAAAATCACCATTTGCAATCCCCAATAATTCAGGCAAGGATCAAGAGAAGCTAAAACCCATCTAGTGAAGGAAGGCAGGGAAAAGAAGGGTGTCTGTATAGTGTCAAAGTATCACATGTACATACAAAGTATCACACACTAGAGGCTACTTAATAATTACAAAGGGGAAATCTACCTTTCTATGAAGAAATTCAGCAATCACCAACTTAACCCAGTGGTCAAATTTAGCATCACTAATTATGGAACAACCTGATTTTATATGCCTCTTGATTCGATGCATCATGAAGTAGTACCTGCATAGAAGGTTGCCAAAAATGCTTAACCTGAATATAATCAAGCTTATTGACACAATTTCCAGTTTACAAGAAACACAGACTTAGAGGGACAAATAAAATGACATACATCCACAATGTGGGACATTTTATAAGGAAACTGGCTTAAAGTCTTCAAAAGATCAATGTCATTCAAAAGAGTGGAGTGCTGTTCAAGATTAAGGGACAAAAAGACATATCAAGTGTAACAGGTAAATCTTGCTTGGTTCCTGGTTTACAAAAATAAAGCTAGGAAAAAATTTGGAGAACACTTTGGGAAATTCAAATATAAACTCAATA